AGTCAAGAAACGTTGATCAAAATCCCTAAACACACTTTTTAGTAAGGCAAATGTCAGGCAAATATGGTAAATGTCACGAAGAGAGTGCGGCAAACCCAAAATGACAGAAAAACGTTAGAATTATGTGAATGACTATATTCCCGGGAGGGAATTAGGTCTCTTGCCGCCAGGCTACCACTAAACCGAACTGATTTTACCATAAATATCGATAATTAAATAAAAACACTCGCCGACGCTTAGAATTACCCAGAACTTGCTTTGCCAGTCGAAACGTGGACCTCCTTTTCGTTCCTGGTTCTTTTAGGTTTTTAAAATTCGCTCCATAGAAATTTATTACTGAGAAACCCATGACGGATCTTTGTAGAGAAAGTATTGAATTTTAGTTCTTAGTTCCCCCTGCGCCGTTTTAAAGCAGAAACTATGCATCATCACTCCCATGTTCAATAAGATGAAGTTCGTTCTCAAATAAACTGTCTTGGGTATATGAGAAAAGCTAGGTTTTATGGCGCAGATAATCCGAAGATCATATAGCAGCCTGAATCGCACCCTTAGGGACACGGTTTGGTACAGCCTATCACCGCAAAGGGGAATATAACCCAGGGGCCAGACGGCACCAAGACCACAGGAGGTGCACTCGGGTGCAGTGGCCGACAGAGTAAAACAGTCCGTCTACGCGGTTCCCACACAATGTGCCGGGTTTTCACAGAAAAGGGACTCGGGTTGCACGTCCGTTAGGGTAGCACGGAGGCGACATAAGGGAGCCCCCATTGGGCGTGACTCTCAGTCTTCGAACCGGTCACCCCGCATGCGCACGCAGTACTGACTGCGTGGACCGAATTGTCCGGTTAGCTGACAGCACTTCAAACCGTGACCATTAGCGCGTCGTTTTAATTTCGAAGCTCATCAGATCTATTCTAGTGAGAAATGAGCTGAAATATCGTGAGGATGAATTCCCTAGTGTCAACCTCACTCTCTCTCCCCTTTCCCATGCACAAGTCCACCGTTTAAACGGGTTTGTCATCTGGTGGTTAGGGACAGTGACTGAGAGGACTGCGTACACCCGTCTACGCGGCCCACACACGACACCGGAGTTTTTTTTAAATAGAGGGTGGCTCAGAGTTCACGCGTGTGGTACTGCAATAGGGACCCCATTGAGGAGGAGATATTAAGTGTGACTCCTCAATCACTCCGCATACACTACTGACCGCGAGGGCAGAGTTGTCCAGTCAATTGGCAGCCTTACAAGTCACGACTTTTGTCGCGTCGGGATAGTTTCAAAGTGTATCATGTCTGTTATAGTTAGGAATTCCCTTATGTATTCTGAGGTCGAGGTCCCAGAGTCGGTCTTACTCTTCCTCTTTATCGAGCAGCTGTCCGGTGTTGGGATTGGACGCAGTGGTTGACGGTGCAGAAACAGCCCGTCCACGTGTGTCGAACACGACCTGGCCAGGCATCAAGTCGCGCTAAAAGACATGTTCCTCAGTCAAGTAAGTGAGGCACGTCCTATCGGTGTGTAGGGTATTGTTAGGCGGGTTCCTGCGTGGTGCATGAGCTAGTGGTGGGGATGGACTCTGGCGGCGCGTTGTCGGGAATGCGCAGCCATATCAAATGCCAAAATTTGGGTTTGGTAACACGTCCATATGGATATTGAGATCTGTGCTATGATTATAAATCCTGGCTCATGTATGTTGTGGATAGAGGGGTGTGGTGGTACGCATAGGTACGGTCTTCCTTCGTGTAAGCCACCTGCATCCCTTCCCGTCTCCTGTATTCTTTACTCTGTCTTGTCACCGGATCAAAGTTATAGAGGAGGAGGAGGAGGAGGAGGAAGAGGAGGAGGAGGAGGAGGAGGAGGAGGAGGAGGAGGAGAAGGAGGAAGGAGTGCCGTGGACGTATCGCATGCCTACTATCATCATAAATTAAATCACGCGAAGTCACCGTCCCTGCTCTCAACCTGCTGTGGAGCACACAATGGACATCGTCCGCAACGACGGTCGAACTCTCGATGGCGGTGGTGGGGTAAGTTCTATAGTGTTTTACTGCAAGTTTTCACGAAGACGCATATGGCCGAATAGGCCCATGCTATGGTGGAAGGTCCTTGGACATTATGTGTTCGTGGAGCAGATGCAACCGATGTGTACTGGGGTTTCGGACACTCGTGAGCCAGTATCAGTGCAAGTTCCCAACCAAGTCGAAGCGTTATAGAAATGTTCGATGGTAGTAAGAATAGTAGGGGACAGTGACAAGGGAGCTGGCGATGTGACGATGCTGTATGTAATAGACTATCTAACAGTTTGTTTGAGAAGAAGCTCACACACTGCATTTGCAGAGCCATCACCAAAGACGCCATAAATAGAGCCAAATGGCAAATGGGGTACCCCATGTGACACCCTTTTTCGTACATAGTTAGGAAAATTGTCCGTATGAAAGATCTGTGCAAACATCGACAAATAAATATCCATGTTAGCTTTACATGACAAATGGACCACTGACTCGCAGTGTATTTAAGGTTTTATCGTTGTGATTAATAGGTAGCTTCCAGTTCATGTTTTATGTAATAATTTGCGGGTGGCTAATGCGAACTGCCGCGATCTCACAAATGCAATCAAAGTGTTTCTGCTGACTTAAACAAACTCTTGCTAAAGGAATCCATCGGTGAATTGGGACTGTTTGACCGTCGAATGAGTGAGGCCTTTAGGTTGCTCCGGGGAAAGATAAACCAAGGCAAGTTGTTTCACTTAACATCTCCTTTCAGTTCATCACACAGGGTTAAATTTGAGATGACGAATTCATGGTCACGCCAGTTGCTTGGTGATTAGCATAGGTGGACTTCAAACCGGACAAACCAACTAAATGCCCGTCGAATGAAGAACTGATTGAGGCAATAAACAAGCCCGAACAGTTGGTATTCTTTAGTGGGGGACATGGTTTCATTCAGTGTTTGAACATCAAAGATTGCATAGTTTGTGTTATAGACAGTACTAGTGGATAATGAGGAAAAGTTACGAAGTCGATTGGCAGAAGTTACATGAAATAATATATCCTCGGAGATATAGCCGAGAGACCTGAGTAGCCAAAGGAGTCCGCTGCTGTGCCAACGCGGTGCAATAAGTGAATAAACGGAAACTTAATGGGTGCTCTGTCAGGTTTTGAACAATTCGTTTCGATCCAGCTCTACCCCAGCCCACCCGCGTTTTGCACAGTCAGGTTCAAAATAAAATGAATAGAAAGGCGTTAAATTGCAGCTTTTCGAAAGTATGCCCAAGCGACCATTCGGTGGCAGCAGCCTTCTCCGCATGCAATTTGCAAGCGGAGAGCAACTTGCCGTGCGTCAACGCCTTCAATTGTTCCCTTGCGGCAAACTGCACTCATTGAAGTAGTCAGTGCATGATGAAAGGCGTGGGAAAACATACCTGCTCCCCCCCCCCCCCACCAAAAAACGGCTGTGTCGTAAATGCAGTATTTACAAGTCCTGGCTTGGTAAGCTGCCAGCGGACGAGATAAATTTGTCCTTCTAGGGGCTGAGAGTCAGGCTGCGGCGGTTCCTCCTCAACATAACCTTTATGAATTTAAAACAGTCATAGACAGCAGAATTTATTGGAACTAATAGATTTCGCGACGGCTTATCAACTGCAGCCTGTCTTTACATAACACAGATAACAAGTGTGAAAGTTCCAGAGGCTTGAACTTCCACAGAGAAAATCAATATAAAATAGCAAGGTCATCGTATACTGCACGTAGACTAATCAATAAAATGGTAACTTGAAAAACGCAACATAGGATATAAAACGGGGAAAGTTAACACGTTGAGAGATTTCGCAAATAAAAGGGGACGTAGATCTACCAGGTCAAGCTGGGGTTGACCACATGGTCTTGCTGTTCTCATAGGTCGGATTTCTCCCGCCGTATGTAGGCTGCCCCCAAATAGCGCAGTAGACTAATTGTTCGTGCTCGAACTAACACTCGAAAAGACGTTTTCGGGTCAACCGAATGACCCCTATCAAGGAGATGTTTTGTAATAGAAGACCTTGGAATCTTATTCTCCTGCTTTAGAAGCCATTTAGGCAGGTGCTCAACTGGCCTGGCTGCCAGTTGCCTTTATGGTCGCCCAATGTACTTGAATGTATATTCGTAAACGCAATTTGACGTGGCGTGCAGTGGCAAGGCATCCTTCGACCGTGGAACTTGGATGGCCTTAGTGGGACTGCAGAATATGAGTCCAGCTGAGTTGTATGTTCTTTCAATGACGCATCTCAATCGTCGTTTGATGGTATTTGAGATGTTGTCACCCTTAAGTGGTAAAGATATTACAACGGGATTTTTCGAAACTGATTGCTCCGTCAATTTCGGCCGTAAAGTTTTACTGTACTTTTTGATGAACCGTGTTGGGTATCCCCGTGTAGGCAGGGCTGTTTTGAGACCAGAAATTTCAACATCCAGCGTTTCAATCGGGCAAATGTTTCGTGTTCTTTATGGCCTTCCCACCTATGTGAGGTCCAAGCCGTCCTTACGGAAGGACCGGCATATGTTGTGGGGGCCATGGAACTCGGGGGGGGGGGGGGAGAATAAAAACAAAAACTCTATTCCTGGTCATCAGGAGGAGAACGACAGATGACCTTCCCCTGCAGGTAGCCGCTTCCCGAGCGGGACGCACCTGTGTACGGTCGGGGGTTACGACGGTCGGGCCTCGGCCAGTGAACGAGAAAGTGCTTCACGCAGATCCCTAACATGCCGTATCCCAAAGCCAATAAGTTTCTCCTCGAGATGCAATTCGAAGCAGGCTAAATAACGGAAACAATCGTCAGGAGAGATTGTCCAAATCCTGTTATTTTCGTGAGCCAACGACAGGAACCGAGATAAGGAACTACCCTTCGCCAAACTCCAACCATAGAATTTCGTTGATTTTATGAGGAATAGCTGAAGGCACATATGCGTGTGTTCGTTGGTAGTCACACTGGGGAGATGGTTCACTAGAACGGTTGCAACCTGCAGGAACTTTCGATTACGAATTCGGCAACAATCGGGAGATGGCACCCAAAAAACCGCCTAACCAAAGCAGCCTGTCTTGCGGGACAGGTAGTAATAAGGGTTTTATGGTTGGTAACTGGTCGGGATGCACGATACTAGCCGACGGGAAGCCCTTTTTGAGCTGATGTATGATCGAAGTTGGCCCGCTCTCCGCTCCGTTATTACAAAATGGGTCGCCAAAGGCAGTATAGTGGTAACGGACGAGTGGAAGGTGTATAATCGTCTTCCGTACGAATGTTATCTACATTCTTCTGTTAACGACCCTACCACCGGGCGCCACACCAATGTTATTGAGGCATACTGGAGTGGACTGAAAAGGAAACTTCACGAGGGAAGCCATGTATGTGGTCGGGCTGTGTGGGCTCACATATACGAAGTACAGTATCGTCTTTGATTTGGCCTTAATGCCATGTCTTTGACAGATGCCTGGGAACCGTTCCTGTCCCATGATGTGCAGACTTATCCTATTTTAAAGTGATTTTGTTTTGTAATAAACTGCTATAATGAGAATGTATGCCTAATATTCAGGTGTACGTGTATAACGATGGGGAATGTTGGGTAGCAGCGACCATCGTCCATGTAACCTCCTGCGATGTTCGTTCGGCCAGCCCATGTTAGGCCGTCGCGGAAAGTCCAGGTAGTGCGTGAAAGCAGGCCTGCACCGCTGTTATAGCCTGAAGGCTTTTGAGTCCACTGTTAAAGGTATTATTTCTAGGTAACGGATTTTTTTTGGGTGTAATCTCCTGATTGTTGCCAAAAATTCTTCAACTAAGCAAAGCCTTCGCCCATTTCGCGCTCAAAAGAAGTCATCCACCGTTCCGTCCAGATTCATTCCCACAGTTCCACTCAAAAAACGTCCCAAATCAGCCAGTATGCACTTTTCTCAGACAGACTATTTTGCCCAGCAATAAATGAGGAATTGTTCAGTGGAATTTAAGCCTTCTTCGATTCCGTAGTTGAAAAAAACTGAATATGTGCCTTGGAAAAAGTGTAAAGTTGGGCATTTTGATATGCTTTCATATGTTAAAAGCGACGGAATGTAGCCTTTTTGCGGTCTTCATTCAAATGTTTTTTATTAAATGCTTGCATGTTCCATTTGAAATATGAGTCTTTGTAAAGTTGCTCAATTTTGCTTTTTTTAGCATTGAACGCAACTTTTTAAAATTGCACCCAGGAAAATAGGCGACAAGAAATCCATGGGCAGTTATGCTCGTTATTGTAGACTATGTGAATTTCGCGATGTCAGCAACGCAACGATAGCCATCAAAGAAATCCGAGGTTGATAAGAAGTGGATCCGGTCGCTGGAAAAATGTTTTATTCGCCTGACGCTTCGGAGTCACGCTCAAACCCATCATCAGAGACAATATGAGACACGGATGGTTCATGCACAGGAATTTGCAGTACTTATAGGATTCAGTCACTATGATACTGCGTAGCTACGACAATTAACGACTCCTCCCTTCATCGAAAATGGTTGCCCTCTGGTGCAATAACAATATTATGGACGACATGCTACTCGCTGTGAATGCTGGCGTGAATGGTGGCTCAGCCATCTGGCTCATCGGCCTACGCAGTCTATCACCCGTTCACGCGATTACCTCCTCCTGCAAGAATTTTGGACTCATCGAACATAAATGTTTGGCCCGGTCTCGTCGAATGAGCCGCGACTTGGAGGTTGGCGTCATTTCTCCGTCATGCTGTAGCGCGTTTAGCGATTCGCGCCTGGTGCAGTTTTCCTGTTTCTCCGACGTAGTGGCTTTGCCCGCAACCGCACTAGACCCAATAAACGACTCCAGATCTTGATCAGCTGTGGGTATATAGCAGCACCTGAAGTAAACAAACCCCAGCTGCCTGTAATACGGGAACGGTAGTAACTGGGATTTTTACAGGTGGG